CACACACACACACACACACACACACACACACACAGAGAGAGAGAGAGAGAGAGAGAGAGAGAGAGAGAGAGAGAGGAGGCATCTTTTCTTGTGTACATCTGATGAGGAGTGGAGCGAGAGCCTTCTGCCGCTTTTTTTTTTTTTTTTTTTTTTTTTTGACAAAAACTAAGCTATATTCTTCTCTCAAACCTTTCATCATCTTTCAAATTATTTCAGCATGCCCACAGTGCGGCCATGAGATGTTCCGTTCCGATCGAAAGGCAGGAACCGGTGCATACTGGAATCTAAGCCTAGAACCCCACTATAGAAATCCAGCCCCACGTCGTCAAGCATATGAGCAGAAGAGTTTTATGATTAATCCACCAGTACTTCAGAGGCACTTTTTCTCCGGTGCTGGAAACGCACTGTGCAGTGTGCACCAAAAACAGAGTGAAAGTGTCCTTGTTATGTGCTCTATTGATTCAAACCGCATTCAAATGTTCCCATAGGACCCACACGCATGTGTAATGACAGGCAGACTGGAGAGAGCAGATTCACACCATAGCCATGGAGAGATATTGCACAGCGGAAGCCTCAACCAAAAGCGAGCCTGTGAAGCCAGGCGCTGAATCAGATCTGGCATTAGCCTGGACGCCGTTGAAGAAGCCTGCCTGGATCTCGTTGAAGATGATGATGGCAGCAGCCACAACCAAGATGCCGCTGCAGAGATGAAGAGAGTGGCAGTCCTCTAGCCTCCAAACAGCAGCAGAGTGATGAAGAGGAGGAATACCAGCAACAAGAACTGTGAGGACCCCGGCCTCAATCTTCTTATTGGTAATATCAGCCTTGGGCACTGGGCCCGTTTAAAAAAAAAAAAAAAAAAAAAAAAAAAAAGAAGAAGAAGAAGAAGAAGAAGAAGAAGAAGAAGAAGAAGAAGAAGAAGAAGAAAGAAAGAAAGAAAGAAAAGGAAGGAATCTTCTACCTGCACGCCGTGCACAGCCTTGAATCTGGCAGGCAGCTCCAGCTATGGCTGCCTAGCCTTCACGAAGCAGCAGAAGCTTCAGTGCTGTAAAAATAGTGCAGCTGCCGTTCCCCACATCGAATTTCCCACTGACTGAGAAAAGAACCCGAAACTAGTCGGGCTCTGTTTTCAAAAAAAAAGAAAAAAGAAAAAAGAAAAAAAACTAAAAAAGTCTCTGACCGTCCATTCAGTCAAGATCTACAACCCAGATGTTGCCTCCCCAGACCTAGGACAGACCACACAGCAACACCCATCTGACCGTCCAGTCAGTCAAGATCTACGACCTCTCAGCCTACATGCATCTAAACAGACACATAGACTAGGAGGAGGAAACGAATCTACAGCAAGCGAAAGAGGCCCTACGGTCTTCACCCGAATAGAACGCCCGGTTATTGTAGCTGTATCGACACTGAAAGTTAATATGCCAAATACAGCCCATAATGACCGGGTGTTCTATTCGGGTGAAGACGGTAGCGGTCTGCTGAAAACCAGTTCAGAAAAGGACAAAACAAAATGCCAGATGGCCTAAGGGCGTCGCCGCACGGGACACGAAACGATTGCATCTTCCCACAGAAAATGGCCAGGTTCATCGGTTTGCTATAAATAGGAACGAGTGTATTTTGCCACTTTCCTGGGCAGATGCGCTCGTTTCGTTTTCGTTTCGTGCGCCGTGCGGCGAGAGCCTAAGGCCAGCCAACAGAGACTACCACAACCAGATCTAGGGATCGAGTCCAGCAAGGCTCAAAACAAACAAACTCATTACAAGGCACGGGATAAAAGCCCCCGTCCCGGCTCAAAACGACAGAACGAACTACAAAGCCGGACAACTTAGGGCGGGCGCATCTGGCCATGTTCTAGCGGGGCAGTTCATTCTCATTTTGCATATTTCGAGAGTGGTGTGGCAACGCCCTTATAGTGTACAGCCCCACGGGGAAACTGCGATTTAGGGCCTCATCCCACCCTACTTACGGTAAGTAGAAGTCAAAAACAAACGAAAAAGAAGGGCCCGGGCCGCAGCGTTCGGACCGTGAAAGAAAATTTGTACTCCTCCGTCCCGTTATTGCAGGAGATATTACGTGGGTGGCGGCGTGCTTTGTGTGGCTGCGGCCTTTCTTGGACGAACCTGGCCAGGTAACGGGCAAAAAAGATAAGAAAAAGAAAACATAAAAACACGCCATTCTTTTGGGAACAGGGTACAGGCCCGTTCCTTTTCCGAAACGGGCAAAACGGAGCTCCCGGAGTTCACTCCGCGAACGCCACGTCCTAAACCGTTTTCGGAGCCCCCGGGGTTCAAGGGAGCCGGTGGGATACCAAGAAAATGGATATTTTACTTAACGTAAGTATGGTGGGATGAGACCCTTATTGCATCCTTCTGCCTGGTGCCGCCATTTGCTCGATGCCTACTGGAATCGAAGCCTCCAGCCCCACTACGGCCTTCACCCGAATACAACGTACGGTCATTATTGCTGTATCTAGACTCAAAGTCGCCCCAAATACAGCTATAATGACTGTAGATTGTATTCAGGTGAAGACGGTAGCGGAATTCAGCCCCATGTCTTCAAGCATATATCAGCAGAAGGGTTATGCGATTAAACCACCAGTAGTACTTCTAAAGTCGTGCCCGTTAACGCGGCGCGATTTTAGGAAATGTACGGGCCACTACAGGAGCGCCCAAATTCATCCGACTAGAAACGTTTCTTGTACTCTATTTTTTTAACGCGGCCGATAGCTGGGCCAAGTACCGGTGGAAACGCACTGTGCAACAAAAACACAATGGGCCTTGCTGCACTACTCTCAAAATGTGCAAAACGAGAGTGAATCTTCCACTAGAATATGGAAAGATACACGGCCATGAGTTTTGTCTTTTGTGCATTTCAAGAGTAGTGCAACAAAAACACAATGAAAGCCTCCGTTCTGCCTGGTGCCGCCAGCCATCTTGCTCCAGTGGCAGAGCCCCGAAAGTCGCGGCAGCATGCAAGCCTCAACTTTGGGAAAACGGCTGAGTGAATGTACTGGTTAGCAGACACCGTGCCACCGATGAAAGAGGAGGACGTCAGAAGCAATCGGCGAACAATATGAATATCCAATTATTTAAATTGAATTTGAAAAAAAATGAATATAATATTAGATGATTTATTTTAACAATAGAAAAAGAAAATCATCAATGAATCGTAATTTTCTTTTTATGATACAACAAAAGAAATCATTTCACCAATGAATTTAATCTGAATCTAGACCTCTCCACAAACACGTCCAGATTCCGATATATACTTATTGCAATCACTTTTGCCAGTAGCATGTCACCCCTTCTTTAGAAACACATTTGGTACATTTGGGAAGTCTCCATTCTGACAAGAGCGGGGTTTTGAACCCATGCCCTTTTGGACTTAGCCTATCAATTGGCAAACAACAAGTGGCAAACAATTCAGACCATCAATCGGTTGGCGAACAAATATGCGTCTGAAAACAGGAATTGGACTAGAACACGCGCCCTTTCGGACTAGCACCTGGAGGGAGATCTGGAGAGGCACTTGGGACTTCTTCAGAAACATTTTGCAAGAGTCTCCATGCTGACAAGAGGCGGGTTCGAACCCATGCCCTTTCGGGGACAGACTTCAGAGACAGCCTGCAGAAACATCTTTCAGAAACATTTGCCAAATATGCATATGCATGCTGACAAGAGTGGGATTTGAACCCACAGACTTCAGAGACAGCCTCCTCCAAAAAAACAGCCTTCAAAGATATTTCCCACATATGCATGACAAGAGTGGGATTTGAACCCACGCCCTTTCGGACCAATACCTGAAACTGGCGCCTTAGACCGCTCGGCCATCTTGTCATAGAAACATCGCCGACCGTGGGGCTCGAACCCACGACCACAAGGTTAAGAGCCTTGCGCTCTACCGACTGAGCTAGGTCGGCTGCTTGTATCGAGGAGAAATCATACGTAAATAGCTAGTAGGGTACTTTAGGGGGTTCTCCAAGGAAGAACTTTTAGAAATTTAGACCTCGCTGCATAGCTCGCAAATGTGACAAAGACCAAACAAATAGCGAGTGTATATATATATACCTGATGAGTCGGTGAAACTCCGACGAAACAGTTTGTCACAGCCCCTCGTTTGTTGTCCTCTTCTCCCTCTCTGCCTACGGTTTACCGTCGGCAGTTCTATTTGACGATATATATATCGTCAATATATATATATATTAGCGGGGAGCTCTGGGAGGTGGTTTCCGATGGTTTCAGGAGACTTGGTGTCTCAAACCAACAGTACTTGGCCCAGCTATAGGCCGCCGAAAAATATATAGATTACAAACGTTTC